TCAATCAGGTTAAAACATTAGCTTTAATTAGCTAATGAAATTGCTAGTCAATACTTTGTTAATACCATCTTAAAAATTTTAACAAATTACAAAACTCTGTCGTTAAGGTATAAAGAGGAATAATCAAAACCAATTTTGTTTTAATGGTAAGCTATATAAAGTACTTGTTGCCAATGATATTTATAATCGAATATTCTTAAATATATAATATATATATATATGCATAATTATGAGCCAAGCTGAAACATTTTTACAAAAAAAAAAAAAAATCTAGTTGTTAAAAGGATCTCTTAATTGCCATCTGCTGATCAAGCCATGAACATAGACCACATGGCTGGCCGTTTTTATTATGGACTTCTCCCCGGACAACATACAAACAGTTCGTCTCTCGGTTTTCATATTAATTTATGTGTGAATCCTTTTCGGCCAAATCGTATTTTTCAAAAATATTATGCATTGATCTTCTAGGCAGCATCATTGTCAAATAAAACGGATTGTCAAATAAAAATTTTATTTCATAGCCAAAATGCTCATTTAGGACAGGCGGAGGAAGGGGGAGATAAACAAGTTTTTTTTTATGCTATCACATCGTATTAAATAAAGTTTTAACAGCTCTCTAGAGCATCATGATAAATGTTATTTTCACAGAAAGTATAATCTGCGAAAATAAATCTCATCTAGATACTAAGACCTTCGTCATTCTGAAGGTACAGTCCATATAATAATTGTAAGCGTTGAAGTTCTTCCCATATTCTCACAGCAAGATCCAGATAGTAATTAGGTGCGTTAAGCCTCTTGTTATCGTTTTTGCTATATTCCATTGCAGAAAGTAGAAAAGAGGTAACTGCGCGGCGGTGTAAAGACACGCGAACCGCTTGCCGTCAAATAAATATTTATTCATTTTAGTTATGTTATTCATGTTTTTCAAAATAATTGACACTTTTTTTAAAACGTCGTAAAAATGAATTAAATTTTCACCGTCAAACTAAATGCTTATTTCATTGTACTGCTAATATTTATCAGAACTGACATGTTTTGAAATATTCGGCCTTTTTAAAGTTTATTGAATTATTTTTTTCGTAAACTATAAAGCAACTTCTGAAAAAATTTTACCAAATTCTTGTCTAAAACTGACAGAGTGTGCAGAGACGTTAGGTTATTTTTTAAAGCAAGAAAGATCGAAAAATTAGCAACGTTTTCGCCGGGAATAGAACTACGGACCTCTGGAATACGCGCTCAGCGTGCAAACCACCACACCACGAAGACATGCCAAGAAGGCGGGAGAAATACTTTATAAGTGTTGTAAATTTAAAAGCTGCCATAAATGAAGGAGATTAATAATTTACAGACTGAAACATTTTCTCTTAAATTTCTAGTTACTTTGGAGCAAGAATAGTAAAAAGGAAATATGATTTCAATCTACCAGTCCCTTCTTCTTCTTTTCTTTTTTTTTTTTTTTTTTTTTTTTTTTTTTTAATACGAAAAGAGAGAGAAAGAACTTCTCCGCCCATTACTATTTCAGTTACAGTCATTTCTTTACATAACTTATAACAAGGAAAGATAGTGTATTACTACCATTCTATGCACAGTGATAAACAATGAGTACAGTATATATATAGTATAGTAAAATATGAGTGCAGTATCTAATTCTTAAAAGATTTCTATCCACTTCTTACAGTTTTGCAGGGATGCTCAAACTTTGTATGATATCTGTACTTGCACAGTAAGACACAATTAATGTGTTCTCCCGTGTGTGTACAAAAAATAAAGAATATGTAAAAGATTAAATTAGCAAAGTAAATTTCCCTTCTCAATTCTAAAAATAGTAACCTCTCTCTCTCTGCGTCATTTCTAGATTAATCCATGTCATATGAATCTTACATAATTCTGGTAACGTAAATGGAACTAAAACTCAAGCAGCCAATAGTAATTTTACAGCAATATTAACTATCCAATCAAAATACATTGAGAACCAAAACTAATTCGGTCTGAATTAAGATTTCATCCTGAACATTACGCACTTGCTTTCTATGTTTTGGCCTAGCTGGACTCTGTCTACATCTTTTTTCTTACTGCATATCTATCAAAAAATGTTTTTTGAAAAAGGCAAAATTAATGTGCCAACTTCTTTGTGGTCGCAACATGTTTACTGAAAAAGTTGAAGATTTAATCCGCCTTCGCCTCCAATTTCCTATTCATTATGGATCAACACTTCTATGCCATCAAAGTTTCTGCTAGTCTACTGCTGAGTTTGTTTTATCACATATATATAATTAAAAAACAACTTTTTAAAATAACGTAATATGATCATGCCTAGTATTTTTGCGTATTAAGCTGCTGAAAAATTCTCAGTAAAGATATAAAGTAAGAAATTTAGAAGCAATTTTACACAAAGACCAAACATTGAAACTCATAAGTAATAAATTTCAATTTTTGGTCTTGTGTAAAATTGGTTCTACATTTTTTACTTTATATCTTTATATAGATAGACAGAGAGAGGTTACAATTCTACTAATTGCGCTTTAACTCCAGAACAAAGAATAAGTATTCTAACTGCATATGCAAATTTCCTATCACAGGGCTGGATTTAGATTTGATAAGGCCCAGAGCTATTTGAGATATGGGCCCCTTTATAAGTCTGTCGTACTATATTTTAATACTATATTTATATTATGTTTTAATTTTGAGGGGTACTAAATTTTGAAGTACTTTTTTTTTTTTTTTTTTTTTTTTTTTTTTTTTTTTGGTTTTTGTTATACTATATTTTAATTTTAAGCTACACATCTATAGCTTGTGTAGCTTATACATAAATCCTGTACTGCCTACCATATCCATTAAAGGCTGTTATTTTAAATTTCATTCTAAATTTTAAAACACTGCAAAAAGCTGCATTTTATTATTTTCTAAACTTTTTTTTTGGGGGGGGGAGAGGAGGTAATTTTTTACTCATGGATGGTAGAAGCAAGGACAAAGCATAAGAAATAGAAACTGTTGGTACTAAACATAGTAATCACTCCATTATTGTCAGGAATTTATTGTGTGCGTGATTATGGCAAAGCCTCGAGGGCTATCTGCCTAAGAGGAGGGATGCCTTCGTGGAGGACTTTCTAAGGGAAACTGGCTCGTATACACGTTACACATGGGGAAAACCACGAAAACGCCATGCAGCCAGCCCGTTCGCGGGATTCGAACCTCGGACCGAACTACCAGTGTTCAGCGACTTTACCGCTCGGCCGCTGGTGGGCTCAGGAATGTATTGAATAAATAAAATCAAAGATAGCAAATAGTATGATTAGTTTGCATAAATATAAATTACACATGTAAATACTTTAAACTTCAAAGGTTACAAGTAAACAGTACTTATAATTTGATTGTATTATCAGTATTGTTACAAAACTAAAAAATTCTGGAAACTGAAGGGTTGTAATTATTTCCAGATTTAAATAAACAAAAATTGTTTTTTGAGAGAACTTATTAAAGGAGAACAATTGGTTTTTTCTTCATATCAATGATTTTAGTGCAAAAAAAAGCCTCAAAAGCTAAATTTATTTCATGATGTTGATAAAATAAATAAGATTTAGAAAATTTGCTTTTGTAAAAGTCAATATAGAAACCTGATATCAATACTACATTTCTTACAGTGATCTCGAAAACAGTGATGTAAAGAAAAAGTTATATTTGTCTAATTTCATCACAAAGGTTTAACAATGTGGATAGCAAATGGAGATAAGAAGGGACAGCAGTAATACAGATAGCAACCAGATATAGACAATCTTATATATCTGTAGAATCTAGCAACTCTTTCATAATACTCTATTCTTCACAAAAGCGTGCCTGTTGCTCTTTTAAACTTATAAAGGACATTCCAGGAAAGTAACTCTTGAGATTTATTTCTGAAAATATTGATATGCATATGCACATACCTCTAAGTGTAGTTTTATAAAACAAACTGCTAAATTTGATAAAAGTAGTCTTAACACTCTTGATGGGGTGAACATAATCTTACAAAAAGTGTAACTTTCTGAGAACAATTAAAAATGAATTCTCAAACAATTAAAAATTTCAATTAGTAAATTATTCATTCTGCTTGAATTGTTCCAGTACAACAAATAAAAACAAACTATAGGCTGTAAAATATACTTCATTTTAAACAAATTACGAATAATCTCTGGTACATTTGCAACATTAGAATTCATGAAGAATTAAAAGTTTAAATTTTTTATTAAATCATATTTGCATATTTCATAAAAAATGTAAGATAAAATTTCTATAATGATTTATTATTATGACTATACGACTGACAAAAATGTACGTACAGATTAGCTTTCAATCAGAAAATCTTTAAATACGCTTATTGCTATTAATCTTCACTGGCATCCCTAATTACTAAAGCCCCTAAAATGATTTTGGAAAATCAATGCACGTTTTACTTTAAAAAATGTCTTTGCATCTTCCATAATTTTCAGTCATATAGCACCACAGGACTGTCACAGATTAAAAAAAGCGGCTTAAGGTTAAGCTTGGACCCCTTTCTACATCAAGTGCCTATACTGAACTATAAGATTTTATCAGACAGTTTTGCTATTAATCCTTCTGAGATACATGGATCCAGCTATATTATTCACTCCCTTTTTACAGACTGTACAAAGACCAAAACTAATAAATTTTAATTACTTAAAATAGAAGAATTGTGTAATTACAAGACATTTTAAAGGGACTGTAAAATCTGAGGCCATAGGCCTCATCATCCTGGGCCTATGCATTGATAATGACCTGCAATAACAAAACATAAGCAAGAAAGCCTTTCAAATATGCTGAAGATTGGGCTAATAATAATTATAATAATTTCGCGTATTAAAGTAATAGACTTCATTCAACATTTAAGCATAATCAATACACACCACATATGGCCTACTTTAAAATTCAGTAATTTTTTTTATACGCAGATATTTTAAAATAAATCCCAAAAATTTAAACGGATAAATTATATGTGAATATACCGTTTCAGATGTTAAAAAGTATAGAGTCACCTGCAGGAAGCATGACTGTATCTGTGTTGACATCGTTGCTCCTGACAACGAAGTAGCACATCATCAAAAATCACCAATTGCGCTTGTATTCACGAGATCCACAAATGCGTATTCCACAGTAAGAAAATAGAAGCACAGTATTCAATAATTGGTATGCATTAATTTTGACATTTGCCTTATAACTTATACTTCAGGATGACGATCTAACAGCATATCAACATAAATTCAGAGCAGAAGTTTTACTAACTTTCCGCTACTACGCGTCCAGGGTTGCAATAAAATATATGTCCAAAGTTAACGACGCAAAAGAGATTTGGCGAGTATATAAAATGCGCCAAAAGAAGAAAATTTTCACCACACCGATGCGGCGGATTTCAAAAAAGAGAAGTTTGAGACTGTCATTGGAAGTTACATTGGATTCCTTATTCAGGGAGCATACGGTTACTTACAGCAAATTTTTGCACATCCGCGCAATCCTATATATCCAAAGGAATACTTAAAAAACTTTAATAAAATGTTTTCTTTCTCGGATTATTTAATTCTTCAATCTTAGCAAAAAGAGCAAATCGATTTTATATGATTCACTATTTTTCCCCATACAACAGATTCCTTTTACCTAGATGTTACATAAGTGAAAGGAGAACATTAACATCACGAAAATTCTTCCAGGTTTTAATACACGAAATTAAAGGTGCTCTTTGATAACATGCAGAAGCAGATATTTTTTTAGCTAATGAGAGTTAAAAAGAATTTCAGTTCTTTACTCTTTTGAAAAAAAATTTTTTTTTAATTATTTATCATAAATGCAGATTCCTCTAATTATAAAACATTATTTATTAGTCCATGATATGTTTTAAAAATGCATAACAAATAAAAGCTGATATCAAACTTTATTATATTGAAATACAGGTAAATTTAGTAAGTCTTTTTCAGGTATTTCGAAAATCCTCAGTGCATCCACCTTTGTCGATACAGTGAAGATTTTACCTGTGGCTGAGAGGAAAAGTCGCTGAACACTGGTAGTTCGGTCTGAGGTTCGAATCGCGCAAGCGGGCTGGCTGCATGGGCGTTTTCGCGGTTTTCCCCATCTGTAACGTGTATACGAGCCAGGTTTCCTTAAAACGTCCTCCACGAAGGCATCCCTCTCCTTAGGCAGATAGCCCTCGAGGCTTTACCACAATCACACACACACACACACTCAGTTCAATTGTAATTCTAGCCGGAATGCATTGAAGCCCTAAATAAGAGGGGCTTCAGACTTCTTTTATGAAACTTAACCACAGTTTCAGGAGAAAATTATTTTGATATCGATAACTTATTTTAATAATATGCTTGCGTTACGTTTTAATAATACGTTTTTTAATAATACAACGAGCGTAAGTCTTAAAAATCGATTCTAACTTCTGAATCCATGCTTTCTTTCGCTAGGAAACAAAGCATTGGATAAAGGCTGAGGCTTTTAAGGAAAGAAAAACCACATGTCAAAGGCTAATCTCCAGGAAGTGTTATGAATCTGTGAGAGCGGGGGCACTTTTAGTTCTCGAAAATACTATAAATGATCACCCTGGTTGTGCACATTCCAACGCTAATGACCTCCCACTGAAGAGCTCTTGCAGACTTTCTGGATGACATAACTGAATACGGGGAAAGCACACTGTCATTTGAAAAGAGCCTTACATTTTAGTCACATTGTTATTGGAGCGGATTCGGGGAAAAATTTTCCTGTTCTTTCCTGCTGATATAGAATTATATCGATAGGGCATCGCGGATAGAAAATATTGAATTCTTTTCTGTTTGTTTTTGAAGTTACATTCTTCTGTTAAAATTTACTTCTACACTGTTTCTAGCATTCTATCTATTCTCATCGGTGACCTCGATTTAATCGTTTTACCTTTTTTCAATGGTGTGCAGGAGAACGAATGGTTTTTGTTTCTATCATGCATTAAAACAGTACATTAAATAACATATTCAGGGCATAAATTCAATCGAACATCGGCTGAGCTATTTCAAAGCTTTTGAATGAAATTGGAACTCCAGCCAGAATCCTAAATTAGACGAAGTCCGATATTTTTTTTTTTTTTTTTAATATTAACCATTTATTAAATAATTTAATTCTTTATATTTTACTCAATTTTAATTTTCATTTGATTGCTGTTTTAACTGTTAGTCATTTTATTTATTTTCCCCCCTCTTTCCTGACGTCCTTCCATTGACTTCGACACTTCTAGCAAGAAATCAAGCCTTGCCCTTGCCAATACATCACAATTGATTAGACACACAGCATCGGTGATACGACAGCAAAGTTCCTAGAGAACAAGCGGGAAGTGCAGACACAACGACAGTAGACTCCATTAACTTCCCTGCAAGAAAAGTCTCATGGAATTAAATCCGAAGATTGGTGTACCAACCGCAATGCGGATGCCGTATTAACATATTCTTTGCTATTTATACACTTAGCGACAAAATTAGACTGAGATTATAGTCTTTAAAAAGGGTCTCTCTTTTTCTCGAAAATTTGGAAGGATTTTTTTATCGCAAATGTTCTTTGATATAATGAGCCGAACAATAGTTCACTCCACTGTAGCATCAGCAAGCTTTCCAATACCAGCCAAGTTAAATCCTACTAATGCTACACAAATGTCAGCCGCCTTTGCAGCTACACAGATGCAAAGATGGACACATTAAGCATGCGTAAAATATGAAGGAGAGAAAGAGTTTTCCTCTAATTCCAGAGTTCTCTCTTACATGTTTTTAAAATATTCACTAGACTGATAAAAGAATCTAACATAAGTTTTCAATCTGATATTATTTTTTCATCTAATAAAAAAGCGTCATTATACGTGGACTCATATTTTTATAGCATAACGAAGAAAAGAAATCGAAATTCAATATAATATAAGAATAAAATATAGATAAATGCTGCTAATATTGAACGAAATTTTATTCTGTAGGAATTCATGCATTAAAATTATTCATTAAATTATAAATACGTTAATAGTTGGTTTACTTTTTTAAAAAAGTAACGTAAAAACAATTATACTGCTTCATATTTTGAATACACTTGAAAATCTTATTGGTAGGCGGAACTATTTAAATAGCTTATGCATGTATGTAGTTTATTTTTGTACACTTGAGTACGCAAATTAAAAATCAGTTACATCGTTGGCAAATATTTTATCCTGGAGGAGCTTCACAAATGTTTTCAGATGGCTCGGAACCCATATATAAAAATACTATCTCTATGGTTAACACACACTAAACTGTAGCTACATAATCAAACTTCAATAAGCAGGAATTTAATTTATTGTTTATTTAATCAACTGTGGCAAAGTACGTGCGAGTTATCTGCCTAAGAATTACCCCCCCCCCCCAGGCGGCTTTCTAAAGAAAACTGGCTGGTATTCGCATTACGCTTTATGGAGAAGATGACATTCAGCCGACCCTTTCGCCACGAATTAAAAAGTCAAACTATCAATGTTTAGCACTTTCATACAGATGGCCATTGGGGACTCAATTTCAGCCGCCCAAATGGGATAGTGATTAGCGACGCTAACTGCCGTACCGATGGGCTCAGGCTCGAATCAAGGAGAAGGAATGGATGTTTGTAAATGTATAGTGTCTGTGCCGGATGAGGCATTCTAAATATGCGGCGAGCCGAAAGTCTTCTCGAGAGGTTGGTGATAGCGAAAAAAGGGTGGGAGACTCCTGGATCCGTTTCCCCGGGGTGCTCTTCCTCAAAATTAGGAGTGGAACTGAGCAAAGTTGTACTGTCACTTGTATGATGCTCAAGGCTATTGTCAGCGACAGACAGACACTGGCTATTGCTACTGCCAGACAAGTGAGATAAGTCACAATAGACTGAATTTCAAGAAAACTCTGCGCAAACAAATTCAGGTTTTCGAGGTTTTCGGCAAGTTGCACTGGTAATTCTATGCAGAATATGCAAATAATACAAATATACAAATATATTTATTTAAGTAAAACAGTATCATTACATTCATTAATGATGAAAGTTATTCTTATGAATAAGAAATTTTGAGACAATCAAAAAATGAAAAAAAATCTATTTTTTAATCATATGCTCATAAAATGAACTCTTTAAACAGTCCATCCACGGTCCTCAATTTTTGTCTTTTGTGAAACCGTCACCTCATAGAGGTGATGTTCAGTACTGATATTTATGTTATGAGAAATACTCTCACTTTCAGAATTAGAGGGTTTATTGCATTAGGAATGTATGATTTCGATTGTGAATAAATAGTATACATAGTTATCTGCTGCTTACCCACGCTAAACTGACCTTCCCCCCCCCGGTGAGGCTTCTGCTCATGGGGGAAAATATTCAATCTATATGCATAGAAGGGTGATCAGTTTTGTCACGATGCGTACGTGGATCAATGAAAAAGCAGCTCCCCTTCCCAGGACAAACATGGCTACTTAAGATGTTTCTCAAGCATTTAATGACCTGTAAAAGTAGGGTGGGACTTATGTGAACTTTCTCGAGGAGAAAGTTCACACACGTCTTAATTTTACAAAAAGTTTGAAGGGTCATTTTCCCTACTTCGGATTTATTTTCTCTATGCTATGTAGTTAACTCAAATTCTCTGGACTGTGTAATTCTGGAATTCGCAACGACGCCGATTACCAGGCTGCTTCCGGTTACCAGGAAGTTGCAAACTCATACAAATTTATTTTAATTTGCTCTTACAAGAACAGTTTTTAATTTGTTTTACTGCACACAGGTCACTTTCATTTCTTTCTACTGTAGCATGCTTTTTGCATCACTCACACACATGAACCAATGAAAAAGCAGATCGCCTTCTCAGGATTCCCAGTAGCATATTGTATATAATGTATATAGGATTATATTTGTACTTTTGCATATTTATTATTTTTCTCATTGCTATTGTACAGTGGTTTGCAAGCGTATCATGTTTCGGATTCGCCACAGTTCATCACACCAGCGAGCTTTTCTGCCACCGTCCCTCCACACATGGCGTTTCTTCACAGAAGCACTGAGCTTCAGTTCTCTTTTTCAGTCTTTCCTCTTCAGATCTACCTCAACTGGAGAAGCATTATCTTCGGACTTTTTACAAAAGTGAGTACCGAAACAGGACTCACTAAGGGATCTAGAAAGAGCAGGAATAGAGTATCTCCTGCTGTATGCCAGAATATCCATAAAAGTATCAAAGCATCAAGATTCGTCGGTTTACTTCACATTTTGATAAAATTCTGCTGCATTTTCTT